GATAAGGACATCATTTTTGGGTGTTAATTCTAGAAGGTGTTGTAGGCCTTCATACTTTGTTTTTCTATTCAGAAGTAAGCTTCCCTAAGTTCAACATGGCTTACTCCCAGCTAAGTGTGTATATAGGAATGCAACTGTAGAGCAATCTTATGAGACTTCTTTTATTTCTCTGAATTTAAAGGATTATGGGCTTTCTATGCCAGGCAGGGTGAACATGGGAACAAAGGTTGCTTCCATTCTCCTCCTGCGCTGGAAAGAAGTCAGATGATTCATTTCAGCAGTCTTTCAGAAGCGCTTTGGAGAGGGATGGAAAGAGGCTGAGCCATTACCAGGGTATTTCCCTTGTTCCCCTGAACATGCAGTTAAACCCCTTCTCCAAGTTTGGTGAAACAACTGGCACAGTTCTTTCCACACTTGCTACAATGTGTGAAGTCCTTAAGTGTGGAGCCTCAGCTCTGATGCTGGAGCTTTTTCTGACATAAGGCTTGACCTAGATGGGGCCTGTGGACCAATTAGTTGTCTTAATTTCCTGGTAGGTGTTGGTGATTCTCTGTTCTGAGAAAAACATGGGATGGCTAGCAGCATCCCATTTAATTCTTTGCTGCTGTGGTATTTCATCAATTCTCTTTTAATAAGCATTGGTTATATTGAGCCTAGAAAATGTTTCATGGTCTTTTATCAGCCTTTTGTACTTTACTAAGTTACCGTGGGTTGTCTTAAGTGTTACATAATATCACCCTGTTCTTCAGCCAGCAAGACTGAACAATAATATATCATTAAAATTGAAAACTAAAAGATGATACAATTTTCTTTTGCTTTTAAAGGCCTCTTTATGAGAGGAGGGTCCAGTCTCAGCTTTTGTTGTGGTGATAGCTGTGTGTGAAATGCTTGCAGCTCAATAGTAGCCACAGCAAACTGCACCATTCCTGCAGGTTAAGGAAGCGGTGCCCCCCCCCCCCCGCAATGTTACTGTGTAAAATGATAAATGCTTTTTCCCAACCAATCCTTGCTTTTTCAGAATTTAGTATCCGCTGCTATTGTAACACCAGGAAAAATTATTTATGAAATATGAAATTAATTCATGATTTTTCATGGTTAAATGTACCTTTCAGAGTTGTATTTTGAGGGTTATTTTTTCTTAGTCACAACCATTTTATTTAAGTTTATTATTTTATTTTATTTATTTCTCTTGTGTGTTCATCCTTTCTCAGTTCTATTCTTCTGAGAAACAAAAGGATTTCATGGAGGGAGAGAAGCTGCTTTTTTATTGTGTGAACTAGTCCTTAGTTTTGAGCATGTCTGTTGAGCATGTATCTTTCTTTAACCTAAGCATATATTTAACTAAAACTGATGTAACATTGCTTCTAAAACTAGTCAGCTTTTGCATGTATTCTCATCTATCAACAAATATGTTAGCAGTGCTAGTGTTTTTGTAATGTGGGTGTTATCAGATGGGAGGTAAGTCCATCACTCATAGCAATTTATGGCTTTCAGGATTTAACAGATTATGCAAAATTGCAATACACCACATGTTGCCATGACAACAGTGATAAAGAACTCAAAATTGTACGAACCGCATAGACTGAGATACAAACTGTTTCTAATTGCCAGAAGTGTGATAATACAGAATTGAAAGGATTTCTATCTGAATTTTGGTTCACAGATTATTTTCAAAGCTTGAAGTAACCATACTTCAAGTGCATAAAGTGCATTGTGAACATCCTGATAAAAGATGGCTGTTTCTATTTGAAACTGGAGCTAAGCATTCTCTTCTGCGACATATTTTAACAGTTTAATATTCACTTACCATATTGTGGTGCTTTATGGCTTTAACTTTATTTACTGAGAGACTTAAACATGTAAATAGATATAGAAAAATAATTTTTGAACAAGCTCAGATATGCTACAAATTGAAATGTTGTAATTGTAGAGGCATGCAATAGCCTATTCAGGCTGCCTCATAACACCCTTAATTGCACTGCTCTTTGCCACCATGAATAAAATTGATTTTAGGAATAATTTAGCATAAAGAGTAGTGACATTATATATTTCACAGTATTAAATCATACCTTAAACAGAATATCTAGGTTTCCAATTGAATTTCATCCATCAGATAGGATAGGTACATGACCATGTTAATTATACTTATGTCTGATAAATCAATTTATGCCTCCTATTGTATGGTTTTGTACACACAACAAAGAAACCTGCAACTTTATTTTGGGTTTATAACATTTGGTAATAATATTGTGACAGTGATGAATATAAAATGATTTTTCAGACACAGTATCTTCATTCCTAAACAACATTCTTTAGTGAGTCACTTCTGCATTACTAGGATTTTATAATACTTTGTGAATATGCATTCTTGCAATTTTGTCTTTTTGACTATGCATGTTCAATTTAAATGTGTCATCCAATTCTGTTAGGAATGTACCATCACCCATCCCAGTATAAATGATATTAACTTATAAGTGAAAACTACAAACATTAAAACCTATGTATTTCAAAACAGGAATAAATGCAAGAGGGATCTATATCAAGAAATGTTTAGGCATTATCACTTCATGTGTGTGGCATGTTTAATTTTAACCCAAAGTACATGATTTAATCAAACATCCTGACTTTTGACTGCTCGACTAATTTTGAAAGGAAATACTTCTGTCATTTTCTCCTGGCTACTGTTGATTGAGTAGATCACAACAAATTGTGGCAAGTGCTTAAAGAGATGGGAGTACCAGACCATCTTATTTGTCTCTTGAGAAACCTGTATGCGAGTCAAGAAGCAGCAGTGAGAACTGGACACGGAACCACTGATTGGTTCAAAATTGAGACAGGAGTTTGGCAAGGCTGTATTCCAGGGGTCCTCAAACTTTTTAACCAGGGGGCAAGTTGAAAGGTGCCGGTGCTGGGCGTGGGCCAGAAAGGTGGTGCAGGTGGTGCGCGTGGGCCGGTGTGGGGGCAGAGCGTGCGCTGAGGTGGGGCACGAGGCGAGGCGGGGGCCGGCATGCGCTGTGAGGTGGGTCCATGAGGCAGCAGCTTGCTCACTTGGAGATCGTTTTCTCCAAGTGAGCAAACGGTTGCCTCCCCACGCAGTGGGTGGTGATGGGCGTGGGCGCGGGTGCATGCGGTGGGTCGAAATGGGCCTGGTGGGCCCGATCTGGCCCCCAGGCCGTAGTTTGAAGACCCATGCTGTATACTGACACCCCGCCTATTTAACTTATATGCATCATTTAACTTATATGCAGCTTATATGCATCATGCGAAAGGCAGGGCTAGATGAATCACAAGTTGGAAGTAAGATAGCCAGGAGAAATATCAACAACCTCAGATATGCAGATGATACCACTCTCATGGCAGAAAGTGAAGAGGAACTAGAGCCTCTTGATGCTGTCAGTTGCTGTCAAGTTAGAACATGCCGTTTTAGAAGAGGACAGGGAACTCACCTTAAAATTTCATTTCTGCTGATGAATTGTTTTTCAGATCTTAGTTTTTCCTTAACAGTATTATAGTAGTTTTACCAATATTTATTTGGAAGCATTTGTTGGGAAGTATATTTCAGCTTTTATTCTCTTTTGAAAGATCTATGAAAAAGATGGTAGGTGATTTCATGCATTTCTTATCTTACAGAGCAAAGCCTCAATGTGTTGTCTGAGAAGGTGCCCATGTATTAATATATGCCTTTTTCTTTCTTTGTATCACAGCTCTTCTAATGAAGATCCTTTGCTTCTCTAAACTCCAGTAGCTGGATCTTCTAATATTGAAACTGGGAGGGAGCATCTCTGAACCAACATGTAGCAGATGGCTACTGTGCCATGAAACCTGCTTCTAGCCACAGTTTTTCGTCTTAATCTTGCCTGTGCATCCAGCAGTGAATGAGTAGTTTCACTTACTGCTATTTCTTGGATGGTAAATGAGTTTTGTTAACTGAAATTCAAATTGGATTTCACAAGGTGTTGGATGAACTGAGGAATCATGAGTAGTAATCTTGGAAAAGAAAAAGATTGTAAGGAGAAGGATCCTAAAGTATCATCAGCAAAAGAAAGGGAGAAAGAGGCCAAGGCTTCTGGTGGATTTGGGAAAGAAAGCAAAGAAAGAGAGCCAAAGACCAAAGGAAAGGAAGCCAAAGATGGGAAGAAGGACTCAAGCAGTGCACAGCCAGGTGTGGCTTTTTCTGTGGACAATACAATAAAACGACCTAATCCAGCTCCAGGCGCTCGCAAAAAGTCCAGCAATGCCGAAGTGATCAAAGAGCTAAACAAATGCCGAGAAGAGAATTCAGTGCGCTTGGACTTGGCAAAGAGGTCTATACATGTGCTCCCATCATCTGTCAAAGAGTTAACACAGTTGACAGAACTTTATTTATATGGAAACAAACTGCAGTCATTACCAGCTGAGGTGGGCTGTCTTGTGAATCTGGTGACACTGGCCCTAAGTGAGAACTCACTTACCAGCCTTCCTGACTCTCTCGATAACTTGAAGCAACTTCGCATGGTTGATCTACGGCATAACAAATTAAGAGAAATTCCTCCAGTGGTGTACAGGCTAACTTCCCTTACCACACTTTATCTACGCTTTAATCGTATCACAACTGTGGAAAAGGAGATCAAAAACTTGTCAATACTGATCATGCTTAGCATACGGGAGAACAAAATCAAGCAACTCCCTGCAGAAATTGGTAAGAACTTCATTTTAAAATCCTTCTCTAAACGTTATAATGTAGTTGAACTTTCAAATGCAGATATCAGCATTGCTTAGTTGCCTCCTCGCTGACTAAGTGTTGGCATTATTGCACATTTGTATTTAACTGAAGGAATGATATTGATTAATGCATATAATCATTCAATTTCTAAAGCACTGGGCTGTAGTTTATATTAAAATTTCCTTTATAGTGACTGAACAAATGAATGAAGTACTTATTTCCCTGATTTTCAAGCACTGTTCCACAGATTTATTCCTACTGATTGGAAACCATGAAGTGGGCTCAGTTCTGCCTAGAAACATCTTTCTTGAACTTTCAGGCACAAAGACCTTCTTTCTACCTCCTCCAAGAACAGATCAAGATACTTTGGTAGACTTGGCTCTGTAGCCTACCTGGTTTCTTAGGGTCAGATGTTCATGGGTGGATACTAAGGGTTGTGCGTTTCTCTTGCTGCAAATGTAGGAAGAAATTTAATTTGTTGTAAACCAACAATGAGCTTATGGCAAGGAGCACACTTGCTCCCTTGTCAACAGCTCAGACAACCCAGCACCACTGCCCCTGACCCCCCCCCCCCAAACAGAAATGCTTTGGATTGTTAAAGGCAAAGTATTAATATACTGTTACCCAGCCTTCAGTCCCCTGAAAATAAATTTGAAAAACTCTATAACAAGGAGTCTTTTGTAGAAAACAGGGAATGTAAGTATCTGAAAATAATAAAGTCATGGGATAAATGTTTTATTAATGCTCTTTGTGCAGTTCTTGCATAGGCATTTTCTTCCATTCTTTCTTAAAATTATTGATCTAAAATATATTTTAGTGATAGATATTTGGGAATGCCCTAAATTATGTTCAGTTTGTCAACATGTAAACACAGAGATCATGTCATAATATGGAAGAAAAGGAGTGTTCTTGACAGCTTAGGTTTTGTTTTATAGATTCCTGTGTTTCTGGGGTTGTTCTGGTTAGATGCTGAAACAGTTGATGCAGCAGATTTTAGATTAGAACTACATTAGAATATCCTGCCATGATCACCAGATGCAGTAGAACAGCACGTGACTTATTTCACCAATGTTTCTTTCATTTTTAAATTAATTTTGAGGATTGTGTCTATAGAACTTATTGCCAATTTTAATAAAGTACTCAGTTAAACTTACCCCTAGGGAATAATACCTCAACTACAACTTTTTAAATTGTTCCTGTTAGAATAAGAGAAGCTCAGTCTAGTTCCTGTGGCATAGGCATGAGATTAACAGTAGCGCTAAAGGCAACCTTTCAAAATGAACAACAAGAAAAGATGTTCATTAGAAGAACATATTTACAAAAGGACATTCAATATCACTCTTCAAATAATAGAGTCATATTAATAGGTTAATAATAGGTTAAGATTACATAAAGGTTCTTAAAAGTGATTTCTTAGAATAGATAAGATACAGAAAGAATTTAAGAAAAAATAGAATTGCCAAGGGATCTTAGTGATAACCTATACATTCATAACCTGCAAATTTCCAAAGAGACTAAAAATTTCTATCCTTTTCTCAATCACTACTCTGTTGAAGCTTGGAAGTTCTCTATACCAACAGATTTTCCAATCACTTCAAATCAATTATAGTCATCAACAATCTCTGAACAGGCTTCCTTTTACATTATATTGATTATACTGGATATAATAGCATTTTCATGTATCATTAAATTCTTCAGTTGTTCTTCTGTTTACAAAATTAGTTAATTTTTCCATCACTGCATACATTTTTCCAGTCTTCAGTTGTTGGGCATTCTGGTGTTTTTCCATTTAGAAGCAATTAGAATTCTTGCTGTAGTTAAGTATTTGAATAACTGACATGTTCTTTGAAGAAGTCTCTGGCATTACATAAAGGTTCTTAAATAGTTTAGTAATGTCTATCCCAGATAAATAAAGTCTCAGTAACTTTTTTTTCAACCAAATTTCCTAAGCTCCACCCTACAAACAGGAATAGGTTTAGAATTTCCCTGAACTTCCTTAACAAACAGGAAAATATTATACAGGTAGTCCCTGGGTTGTACATAAGTTGCATGAATAAGCCGAATGTTTGCCTTAGCATATGTATTTATTTTATCTTTCTGTGTATATAAAACACTTAAACACTTCAATATTGACTAAAACCTCTTAAACACAGTACAGCATTGTAATAATGATAATAAACTAATTACAGGTACTGAAGAGATAGTGTGTGTATGTGGGTAGATATACAGTACTGAAAAAATTTTTGTAATTTGTGGATTATATTTTGGATTACAATGCCCAACATTCTTGACCTTTGGCTATGCTGCTTGATGCCTATAGGAACTGAAGGCCAAATATCTGCAGGGTACTAGTTGGAGAAGAATGCCTGAAAACATATTACTGTAAATCTGTAAAGAATTCTTTAAAAAACTGTATTGCTTATTTTTACATTTTTCCAAAAAAGAAACAGTTTTTGAAACTTCATGGTTTTAGCATTTCCATACATTTTATATCACTGGTTAAACCATGGTGTGGGATTTGCATATAAAAACAACCTACAATTTAATGAGAACTCTTACATAATCTAAGTCAAAAGTTGTCACCTGTGAACCGGGTCACTATGTTAAGAGCATCCATTTCCTTTGTTTTTTCTCCTTAAATTCAATAGCGTGTAAGAGAAGCACATTCTACTATTTTTAAATTCTGAGGCCATTATGTAAAAATGTCTACATATTGCACCTTTTAAATTGCCTGCCCCTCCCCGCAATACATTTCAGGTCAAATACATATAGGTACTTGGTTTGCATAATATTTATTTATTTATTTATTTATTTATTAAAACATTTCTATGCCGCCCCTTGCCAAAGCCTTGGGGTGGCTCACAACACAAAATAAAATACAATAAAATACAAAAATAACAATATAAAATTAACAATATAAAATAAATATAAAATACAATATAAAATAAATAACAATATAAAAATATAAATAAAATAAATATGCTAAATTAGATTAAACCATGGGTTTTTTAAGGTGGTTTTTTCCCGCAAACAAGACATGGTGCCTATGTTCCGATGGCATGACAAGCCTTGCCCAAGTAGATAAATATGGAAATGGTTCCCAACACATGCTGGCAAGTGCCATGAATTAAAACAAGCCACTGAGACTTATATAAGCAACCATGTCATGTATTGACTTTTTGAATTAGTATGAAGTTTTAGTAGACTATCATATTTCGATGCTTTTGGTATGGAGAAGTACTTAATACACAGATACATACATATTTTCTATGTTGCAGTTGAGATTATTTGTTGCATCAGGAACAAGTATAACCCTATCTGCAAGACAGTTAGCAAGATGGATCTGAAACTCATGGCTACTCTTGGAACTGTCTTGAGGCCATGCACTAGGTTCATTTTGAAAATAGTTCTTTGTCTAGCTCTTGGCTGAGATTTTTCAATCTGCTGCTTTGTACTTGGATATTTCACTTGCCAACATTAAGGTCATGGACATCATCTTACAGCTATGGTTCAAGAGGATGTCTTCAAAGGAGGTTTTGCTTTCTTTAATCTATGTCATCCCCTTGTTAAAATGGGAAGGCTTGACTATAGCAAGTACTGAGAATTATGCACTGTCCAAAAACCTCAGGAATCTTCCTTTAAGGTAGATCCAGTGTATTTTCCATACCTCTCCAGGAAATAAACCATTCCATTTAAGCAGTAAAGATGAAGAGTGGGACAGAAAATGAAAAATGCTGGTGAGTCATAGACCAAGCGTGAGAAATATGAAGGAACAGATGGGAGTGTCTGTAACTGAATTCAAGGCATTCTTATAATCTGAAATTGTTGTTTAGCGTTATGTTATTTCTTTATTAGGTAGATTTCTGTAGGGCTGGTTTAGGAAGAGTGTGCAGACTGCTTATTATGAGAAGCATTTGATTTTATTTTTGCACTTAATAGATTTATTTTTAAGTAATATTCATTAATGCTTTAAAAATCTTGCACCAGTGTATAGAAAAGCTGTATAAATGCCTACCTTTTGTTGGTTTTGCTGAACTAGGGAAGCTTTTAACAATTTTTTTTATAAAGGCTAATTGAAACAAAAATAAAAAATAACATTGCTAACATTCATAAAGCCCCTTTTCATGTATAGCCTAGTGAAAGCTCTCGATTATTTCCCTCTGTCAACTGATGCAGGATTTATGATGATGTAAGGATTTTGGAGATTTCAGTCTGCTTAAGACGAGAGAGCACAACCAGTCAGGAGAGTTAATCTTGTAAGGGGAAGCCTGTCTTACATATGCTTACAGTCTTCAATATTTTTGATCAGGTAAATTGTGGCAGGAAAAAAATTCTACAATTTTTTTTTAGAATTCACCTGCATTAACACTAGCTAATGATCAAAATTTTTCCTGCCACAAGTTTTCCTATAATTGTCTTTGTATAGTTTATACATATATAAAGATGATCTTGATATCTTTTTTAGGTAAAGAAAGGTACTCATTTCTCCATGCACAGGCCTTTCTTTTAAAATTTTGATATAGGTTATATCATCTGATCTTGCTCTTACAACTGTAAACTAAATTCATTTAGATGAGCCCAAAGTTGGGACTGCTTCTGAATGAGATGAATAGTATTTAGGAGCAGTATCAGGCTGTAAACATGTTAGGTATCTCTAAAATTAAATAAGACACATCCTCCTTGACATCAGTCTGTTCATCCACTGAGATTGATACCCAGCTACTGCTGTCATCAGAATTAAGACAGGTCATAACCAGGGAGAAAGCCTTCTCCATGAAGAAATCTACTTGTGAAGTGCCTTCTATAAGGAGGCTCACTGGCACCTTCTTTGTTATCATTTCAGTACTACTTAAAGATGCTTTTCTTTTCCCTTGTTTTTAAATATTGTTAGTTTGCAAAAGTTTTTTTAAACTATAGGGCCATTGTGACCTTTGGCTTTTTAATTCTATTTGATATTTTATTGCTGTTTTATTTGTTCTGTAATATATATTCTTTAAAACTAAACTGTCCTGGGAATGCTGATTGATCATTGAAGGCTAGGAAATTAATTGTACAATTAGAAAACATTATGTACATCTATATTTTCATCATAGGATTTTATCTTTTAATTTTATGGAAGTACTAATTTCATTTAGCCCTTCAAGTTGTAACTTAAGTTTAAGTCTGTCTAGAGATGCAACATGGAGAACCAGCACGCAACCTAGCAAGATTTCTTTTTCTTTTTGCCAAAAACTTCTCCACAGTAAATTATAAGAGGCTTTAAAAACTTGGTTGAAAATGTATAGAGTCAACTGTATCTTAGGTTAGTTTTTTCTTTCTAACTCTACTGGACCTAGTGAAATAATTAGCTTGAACAAAATTCATACTGGAAGACAGATGTTGAGCAAGCTACAGCACAATGCATTTAACTTTACCCACTTAGGAGAATTCTGGTTTGTGTGTCTTTACATTTGTCCATTTCCCTGAGTTCTTTTGGACCCTACATCCAAGGAGTGCTAGAAAGATGAAAAACAAGCATTTCCCCCTCCCATTAAACAGCATTTTAAATAACTCTGTGTGTTAATTTTGGAGATTTTGTGAAAGCTTGAAAATTGGCCATTTCTTTTTCAAAATGTTTGTAATGTACAAATTGCACTTTATTTTCAGTGTCAAGTGAGCTCTTTCTCTTAGTGACATATTTTTTCTATCAGTTTTAATTAGGGAAAATGTGTAAATAAGTCAATCTGAATTTTCAGTTTCACTGTGAGCAAAGGTTATTCTCAAAGTTCTGCTTTTTCTTTGCACAATCCTAAAGCATAACCTCTGAATCATTCATGCAATCACAGATTCTTTGTTATCAAAACAGAACCAAATGTAAATCACTGTCATACAGTATATACTGAAAGAACAGTTTTAAGGAAAAGATAAAGTGGAATCCCATATATGTCTGTTAATCTCATTGAACTCAGTGCAAATTTACTTTTAGGTAAGTGCATATAGGATTGCAGCCTTACATTGATTTTAATTGGTTTTCCCTGCATTTTTAATCTAGTGAAAACTTCCCTTAAAAATACCATGTCAACCCAGGTAGTTTAAGGGTTCTGTGGTTTTCAAAGTACTATGTGTAATAGAAGCCAAGTTAGTGTAATATAGATGGCAGAAGTGAAAAATACAGACTTCTAGTGGGAAGAATGCTGGTGCTAAATAACTATTACTGCAGTTACTGCTTTAATACATTAGACAGATGAGACAGCATATGGAACTGATTGTTAGAGAATGAATGATTGGAGCTTGATAATTAGTATTTGAGGTACAAGTGGGGCAAGGAAAGGTTATTGGGAATAGGTAAGGAGGTCTCACTGAGGGAGTAACTGCTCATGGTGCAGATATTCTGTTCTTTGACAACCTGTCTTTGAGACGCTTGTTTAACAGACTCATTGAATAAAGCAGATTTAGACCTAAATATTGAAATGCTACATTTGTAACACTAGCTAATGATCAAAAGTTTCATGCATGACCTTTCAGATCTGTACTCAGTGTTTAGTCCTAGGCAGAATGATATGTTTCTCATACTCTGTCCTTGTATACTTTTAGGTGAGTTGTGTAACCTCATAACGCTGGATGTAGCACACAATCAGCTTGAGCATCTTCCAAAGGAGATTGGAAATTGCACACAGATCACCAAACTTGACCTACAGCACAATGAACTCTTGGACCTTCCAGACACTATAGGTATGTAAATATGTGGGTTCAAGTTTGAAAAAACAAAACAGTGTTTTTACAGGTGCCCTGTACCTACATAAAGGATGAACAAGTTCCATTATAGATGTCCTCAGTATTGATTGGTTACAATAAAGTACAATTTAAACTTAGATTTATAATAATTTAATTGGTTGCATATACACAAGACTTGGCTTCTGAGGGTTACTTCTCATGTTGCACCTCCTGTACGAGCGAAAAACTGTGCAGTTTGTACAGGCATACAGTATGATTGCAAACATACATGTATTTTTCTGTAGATATGCAACCCAAAAAATGCAAGTCACTTACAACTTCCCATACGGCTTGTATTTCTATAAAGCTCTCCCTCCCTCTGATTTATTTATTTTCCTGCATGGAAGTATATCATGTGCAGAAAAAGCATGAAGGAGCTTTAAATGTATGGCACATGTGAGAACTCAGCAGTTTCTAAAGGAGAGAAATCTCTGACATTTACACGAGAGGATACAGTTGAAATAGAGGAAGAAATAAAAATTATGGGCAGAAAGAGAGATTTTCATTGTTGTCGTTTATTGTGGGATTGCATATTGAAATACCCATTTTTTGAGAAGTGTGGGGATAAATATTGTCTCCTTGCTAGTGCTTACCCTGGAGTAGTCAAAAATGGTAAATGTTCCTTTATGTGTTTAGTAAATATTGCCCAGTTTATGGTCATCAATAAGCAAAGATTGCAGTGATTAACCCCCTTCCCCAAATCTTTTGAGTTTAAAGAGTCTCTCAGAGCAATCTGCTTTGATCTATATGGGTTACTCATTGTGAATTGGTCATTTCTTTTAGTTTTCAAGTCCAGTAGTTGAAAAGTGTAGTGCAGGTTTTTGGTACTGCTCAATACTTTTTTAAAAAATCTCGTAACTTTCACTAACTCTTTTATTGCTTATTTCCTTCTTGTTATTTCCAACTTGTATGTTTTTTGTGTTAACCTGCAAGACTAACTCATATATGCAGCGTTAATGCTTCTCCTGTTACCAAAATTGAGATGCCAGTAAATGTGAACCAAAGTATATAGTGCTTTAGTTACTTCTGGAGGAACTTGAATCAAGTTTGCAAGATCTTTTTTAACGTTCTTTTAAAGTTCTTTTCTTTCAGCTGAAGAGGGCACAGAAGGTAGAGGAGCATAATTGTTGTTATGTGCTGTTATCTCCAACTTACAGTGAACCTATGAATGAAAGTGCTTCATAATGTCCTGTCCATGACAGGCCTGCAGAGTGCTTATAAATTCAGGGGTGTGGTTTTCTGTATGAAGTCACTCCAGTTCATACTTGGTCTTCTTTTTCTTCTTCTGTCTTCATCTTTTCCTAACATGATTGCTTTCCTCCGTGAGTTTTTCCTTATTTTATTTATTTAACACTTTTGTATACTGTCCACTACCAGATGGTCTCAGGACAGTCTTACGAACCTTTCTCACAATGTCCCCTCATTCAAATGTTTCTATTCTGTACTTTGTACAAATGGGAGTGGGGGAATCTTGCATATTGTGCATCTCTTTTTTAAACTCTGGTTTGGTTTAGGAAAGGGTTGTACACCTTCAGGGTTCTTCAAGACTTTAGGCAGCACCGCAAAGTCTGCTATTGCTAAAAAAAAGCTATGGTAGTGGTGAAATAGGTTCAGGGCAGGGAGGAGACCATATAGTTTGTCTGCTGTGTGTTGGGGATCACACAGGTTCACATGTATGAACATATACTCACACTTCAAAAATTAACCAGTCTAGGAGGAGGCTAAAGCACCCAACCTAAACCAGTGGGTGCTTAGATTTGACAGGGAGGGAAGAGGCAGTTTCCTTCCCTCTCCATGCTCCTGATTTTACTTTACCACTGCCATTAGGACATGGGCATGGACATGGCCTCGGCCTCAAAGAATCCTCATCAGTGCCTTCTTCTCAGACTGGGGAGAGGTAACAAGTGGGGTATTGCAAGGTTCAGTTCTGGAATGATTTGGATGAGGAAATGGAGGGAACAATTATCACATTTGCAGATGACACAAAATTGGGTGAGATAACTGATAACCTGGAAGACAGAAACAAGATTTAAGGTGGTCTTGATAGGCTGGAGCACTGTGCTGAAAACAGCAACATGAAATTCAAAAGGGACAAATGTCAAGTTCTGCACCTAGGAAAAAGAAACCAAATGCATCATTACAAGGTGGGAAATACTTGGCTCAACAATACTGCAAGTGAGAAGGATCTTTGAATTGTTGTAGATTGCAAGCTGAATGTGAGTCAGCAATGTGATGTGGCTACAAAAGGGGCAAAAGCTATTTTAGGCTGCATTAATAGAAGTATCACTTCCAAATCATGTAAAGTACTAGTTCCCCTTTACTCAGCATTGGATTGGCCTCATCTGGAGTACTGTATCCAGTTCTGGACACCATAGTTTAAGAAAGATGCAGACAAATTGGAAAGGGTTAAGAGGAAGGCAACAAGGGTGATCCATGGACTGGAAATAAAGCCCTATGAGGAGAGATTGAAACTGAGCACATACAGCATTGAGAAGACTGAGGAGAGATATGATAGCACTCTACAAGTACTTGAAAGGCTGCCACAGAGAGGAAGAACAGACTCGCTTCTCAATCATCCCAGAGTGTAGGGCATGGAATAATGGGCTCAAGTTACAGGAACCAGGTTCCAGCTGAACATCAAGAAGAACTTCCTGACTATTAGAGCAGTCTGACAATGGATCCAATTTCCTAGTGTGGTTGTGGACTCTCCTACAATAGAGGCATTTAAGATGCAACTGGACAGCCATCTGAGGAGGGATGCTTTAACCTGGAGTCCTGTACTGAGTGGGGGGTTGATCTTCTGGCTCCTTCCAACTCCACTATCCTATGATTCTCTGATTAGTGCTGTGCCACCACAGGTTTTTTTTTTTTTTAAGCAACAGCTGTTGTCGATTGCATACCCACTGTATTTCATGGCTAAGTATCCATTAAAATTGTTTCCCTGTCCTAAATCCAACACTCTAGTTTATTGGTGTGGTAAATATGCACTTGTTGAGAATCTGTGCTGAAGGCAAACACTTGTAGTCTAAAAATGCCCAATGGTAAAGCAAATAGCAGTACATAAATACATGGTTGGTTATTTTAGACCGCCATTAAAATGAGATTGGATTTGGCAAGATTCCTAATATGTGTGTTGTGTTCTTCTATGCCAGTTATTTTGAAGAATCCATGATTGCTAACATTACTAATTTTTCTAAACTGCTTTAATTATTCCATGTTACTGCACACCAATCTATAGTTTATCATTTAGGGTGCATTCCCATTGATTGCACCCTAACAGAAACCCCTGTGCTTAGAGGCTTCTGATCATCCCATGCAGGGTGGATGGAGAGGATCATTACTTCCTAGACCTCTGCCCTGATTGTTTTCTAGATCAACTTTTTTGCCTGTCTAGCTGGGATAATTTGGAGAGGGCAGGAAGGAGGCCAGAATGGCCCCAGGATAAGCTCCCTAGTCTTCTCTCTTATTCTCCAGGGAAGCATCTTTTCTCTCTGTTGAAGATCATTTTTCCAAGCACAGGAAACAGCTGGCATGTTTTTTCCCCCAGTGCTGTCTGTGAAAGGGCAAGGGAGGTTACTTGGATCTCTGACTCCCCCTTTTGAAGTTGGAGCATCATTTAGGATGAAAGATAATGCCAAGAAGCAGTAGGATTGCTCTCTTTGTGCCCATTTCTACTTAAGTACAGGATAGTCCCCATTGTTCCAGCTTGTAATGTATATAGAGCCATATGTATACTGAAAGCCTGTGTAGGATTTGTTAACTGTAAACACTATTTTGTCGAATCCCATGTCTTAGAATCCTATTTCATCTCCAAACTTTTCAGTTTTCCTAAGAAGACTGTTATTTTCAAGAACTACTCAAAGAGTAGGAGCCCTTTGAAGCACTGATTTTGTTAAAATCCACCAAGAGATTACAGTTTAGCAATTCCAGAACCCATATCATTCTGTCCTGTATTGGGCCCTTAAACTTTAATTTTTTGGTTGTTTAACATTTAAGTTTCAGTTAGGTTGATTATCTCATGCAGGAAGCTGATGACTCCTTGAACTTAGTATAAATCAGCAAAATGTATTTCTAAAAAACACAGAACTCAGTCTGAATTTGTACATTTGTACATTCTTGATTCAGTCTCCTTTTCCATCACCTCTTCCATCTATATTACTAAAGTCATCTTGTTTTACTCCCACCCCTGTTTGGAACAAACAGCAGTTTTGAATGAGATGTCAGGAATTAGCTTAGGGAAATCTATGGGTGTTGGGGTAGGGGTTGGAGGAAGGATTAAGCTTTTCACTGGGTGCTGCTGCAGCTGTCATATTTGGAGCTGCTCCCCCCCCCCCACTGCTTTTAATTAAAAATAAATGCTTTGAAGGTCTAGTCAGGACAGGCTCCAGGTTTTGGGACCTTGATCAATAATATCATTAGCTTTCCTTTGCCAGTGCCCTTTCCTCATTGTATAAAAGGAAGGGGCTTGTTAGTAATACATATTGAGAGACTTTACTACAAAAACTTGTTTGTTTAGCTCCTAAACAAAAGTGTACACCAGCATGTAAGTTTGTATTGAGTACAGTACATTTGGACTAGCTGCACTAGCTCAGAAGTAAGATAATGGGTATAGGATTGCAGTCTCAATCACTGATGATGCAATCCTTAACAAATGTACTCAGGAATAGGCTCAAATTGAACAAAGAGGGACTTGATTTTGAGTAAACATGCATAAGATTGCACTATGCAGATAAAAGTTTATAAGATGCAGCAAGCCACAATTTCACAGATAAAGTTGTCGTTTAGATATTTTATTGCTTTTAGGGCATTTTTCCAAGCATTGGCTTGGGCAAATGTCTGCATGTTATTCAGCAGTTTTTATAACTAACTGAATGCAAGCCTTGCTATGTGGTACATGCACTGGATGCATGTAGTTTTGACTATAAGCTATCTGGAAGGTTCATTAGAAAGGTATAATA